AGCTGAAGTTAAGAGAGGTCACAGTTTCTTCCATGTAGTAGATGCTTACCAGGGATTTATAGATGTTTTCTATGGATTTATTTCCTCAACAAACATTTTTGAAATCACTGGGCACAGGGATAATCAAGTCAAAAGCTTTGCTTTCAAGGTGTCCTCCATCTGACAAAGGAGATATCTAAATAAACAGACATTTATAGAAAAATCTGGTAATAAATAAATATGCACACGAGTACTACAGACATACAGAAAAGAAAGCATTTAAACTTTGGAGGTCACAGAAGGCTTCACAAAGACAAGGACCCTTGAAGGATGAGTCTCTAATGTCCTCATTCATGATGGCACTGCACACTACTTCAGAATATTTAATAATTAGAAGTAGTTATATGAATTTGCACAATCTCTTCTCTTCTTAAAGGCAAAGCCCTTCAAGCTTAAGTTTCCATAAATTCATGCTTTGTTACTTGCAGAAGCCCTAGCATTGCAGTGGTTAAGCACTCAACTGCTAACCTAAAGGTCAGCAGTTAGAACTCACCAGCTGCTCTGTGGGAGAAAGATGTGGCAGTCTGCTTCTGTAAAGATTAACAGCTGTGGAAACCCTACGGGGCAATTCTACTCTGTCCCATATGGTCGCTAAGTTGGAATTGACTCAGTGGCAGTGGGTTTGGTTTGGTTTGGTTTGGTTTGGTTACTTGCATCTAGGATTTCCAGGAAAGAAGCAAACAGAGTTAAAGGAGGCTGAGTAGCCTCTTTCATAGCATGGGCTTTAGGACCAGAAAAAAGCCAGTCTTCACATTCTCATTCGCAAGTTATACAGTCTTGGGAAATTCGAGCTACCTCACTGAAGCTGTTTTCTCATCAGTAAACCGGAGAGCAACGGTGAGCAAGTAGCACAGTGCCTGGAATATCACCGATATAGGCTAAATGTGCGTACCTTCCCTTCAAAGCCACCCAAGCTCACCTCTACCACAGCACTTCACACAGTTACTTACTGCGACTGCCTGTCTCCTTCTTCAAATGTGAGCTCTCTGTGGACAGATCCTGCTTCTTATTTATCTTTTGTATTCTAGTGACTGGGGTTAGCAGTGATGTCTGCTATTTGGGGATTAATATGTCAACAACACTTGAATGACCATAGAGGAACTATTTCCAAAGGAAATAGATACTATTGTGGAGAATATGCAAAACAATAGAGCAAGATTTAATTCATTTATTTATTCAACAAATATGTATTAGCAACTACTACATGCTAGGTAATTTTCCAAATGTTAGGGAGACCACAGTGAACAAAATGGACAAAATGTCCTGCCCTCATGCAGCTTACATTCTAATGCAGGAAATAGACAATAAATAAATAAAATAAGCAAGATAGAGAGTATTTGAGATCACCATTAAGTGCTATGGAAAAAATAAAAGAAGAAGGAAAGGTTGGTTGAGATCTTGGGGAGTTGGAAGCTTCACTGAGAAAGTCTGAGCAAAGACCTGAATGAGGTGAGGGAGTGAGCACATATCTAGGGGAAAAGCATTCTAGGTGAAGGAACAGCAAGTTCCAAAGCCCTGGGACAGAATTCCTTGACAGGAGCCCAGTGTGCCCAGCACAGGGTGAACACAGAAGAGAGTGGTCAGAGATGAGTTCAGGGAGATTGGGTGAGGCTTGATCACACAGGTTTTGCAGAATACAGTCAGGATACTAGCTTTTAACCTGAGTGAAGTGAGAATCAATGGCAAGTTCTATGTAGAGGAGTGACTTGATCTGACTTATATTTTTAACAGAATCACTCCAGGGGCAGGGTAGAGAAAAGAGACAAGGGTATGAACAGGAAGACCAGTTAAGAGGCAATATCAATAATCCAGGTAGGAGGTGATGATGGCTTGGAACAAGGCTAGTAGTAAGGTAAACAGTGGTCAAAGTCTGGATATATCTGAAAGGTAGAGCTCACAGGTTTGGATATGGTGTACAAAATAAAGACAGGAGTCCGTGATTTTAAGGTTTTCAACCTAAGTATTTTGAAAGACAAAGGACTAATTTATATGGAACATGAGTTACTCAGGGTTCTGAAAGCTGAAATGTAGGTGGCAACTTCTGAAGAGTAAGGCAGCTACTGGCTAGGATCTAAATGGGCAAAACATAGCAACCACTACAGAAAAATAGCCCTTTGGCCACACTTAAAATGCATAAAAGGTACAAGATGGAGGGCATATTCAGTAGAGTTTGGTGCTTCTATCTCTCTAAGAGAAAATGTAACAAGACATTCATCCTCAGATAAGGAAGACTATAAAGGGGGAGGAGGGAGGAGGCAATATAAGGAGTCTGACTGTGAAGGAAAGAATACACTCTAAGGATCAAAGTAGGGGAAGCCCAAAGTTCCCTGTAATTACTGGACACAGTGTCCCTTGGTAGTAAGGGCAGGAAGAGGCAATAACAAGGAAATGCAAAGTATCCTCATCCTTAGAGAGTTGACCAGTGACTCTGGGATTTGGAAGCAAACAGGGTCTTGCATTGTTTCATGAGGAGCTCAGGGAAGCTGGTATCCACCACCCCTGCATACATACAGACAATATCCCAGAGGAGGAAAAGTTTAACTATTAAAAATATAATCAAACCATTCAAAGTTCCCATAAAGTGTGATACATACATCAGTTAACAAGAACCTACTTATCTTGTGATAGTGGCAAAACTGTCCATTTTTAATTAATAGAGGAAAAAAAGGAAAGTGAAGAGAGCTGTCATTACATCAAGCACACTTTCTCAGCATTTTAGTTATGGTGTGTCTATGGGAATGGGACAATGAAGACAAACAAATGTGAATGAATGAGAGAATGAAGTGTTACATCACGCACTCCACAATTCACCTGACAAAGGCATATGTTTCACTTTGTTTGATAACAATAAATGAAAAAGATTCTATTCCTTCCTTACCAAAATGGAAGAAAACACACACACACAAACACAACAGCAGGTTGCAATACCCAGGGACCTAAAATATACTAATTTTCAAAATTTGATAATCCAGTTCCCATAGCAACCCATAAATCAGTCATTTGAAGGACATATAGGAAGGATATTCTGGATGGAAACAATACTCTCTGACCACTGAGAAAAATTAAACCAAAGCCAAATCGTAGTAACCCAACATGGCATTGTTTTAGAGAAACATTCCAAGTTTCTTTTCTTTGACAGTAGTAATGCTAAACTAGGCACAAAGGCTGCTTGCTAAGAAATCTTAATTCTAAGGTGAGCACGCACGGAGGGGTCGAACAAGCACGGGGCACCTGCCTGGCAGGTTGGCCCCAAACCCTCCCCATCCCCGACCTGTGCCCATGATTGCCTGAGTAGGTCAAAAGTGGATTTGTCCCAGGCATTGGCCATGCTCTGTTGGACAATCCCATTTCCTAACAAACACAGCACAGAGCATTTTCACAGCATCTTTCAAGTTTTTCAGAATTCAAAAGCACATCAACAAAGCTAAATTTCCTCTAGTCACTACATACTCCACTCAAATAATTGCTAAAAAACCTTCACATAAGATTCAATTCTCCCCTGACTTGTTCAGGAACCACCCTACTAAGAAATGTTAGTGTCTCCTTCTATATTACCCCAAACAATATTAAAAACTTCAAAAAATTTTAATATTCATGAGCTAACAATAAAAATGGAATAGATTAAATTTGGTTCTAAAGTTGGTCACAGCCACAAGGAGGCACGGTCCCTCCCCAAAGTTTGTACTTCAAGGTCAGCCAGTACGCAAGGAAGGAACAGTTATGACCATCTCCCTCCCTCACAGTCTCAGACTGTAAGTTCCTTGAGGGTTTACTCAACCTTATGGCTCAGTGCCAGACACAGGATGTACTAAGGGTATCTGATGAATAAAGGAGGGGATCTTTCAATTCTACTCCTAGTTCTCTCCCCTGGGCTGGCTTTTTCCTCACATAAATACGTAAGAAATGCTTCAGATTCACCTACACTTTCCAACAACCACAAAGACTCCCTCAACCCTATGTCTCGCACTGACTACCATCCTAACTCTTCCACTTTAGTCCAACCTCTTGAAAAAGTGTTCTCCACTTACTAGAGCAAGCTACTTAGAGTCTCTCTGTCCTTCAGTTTCTTCGTTCATAACATGGAGTTAACACATATTTGAGTCATAGTGTGGTTGTGAACCATAAATGAGTTAGTATATTAAAATATATATATATATATATATATATATATATATGCATATGTAAAGTGTTGGAACTAGGATTTGAACCCAGAGGGCAAAACCGGGACCCTTAACCACTACTCTACACCAATCCCTTAGACAATGATGGTCTCCAAGACTCCCTCTGAATCCACAGATATTACCTATGAGATCGTAACCCCTTCCCTGGTTTCATACCTGTATAAGCAGACAACTACCAAATCTATTGTTCTTAGTCCAGTGATTTCTCTCAGTTCAAGTCCTCAAATCTGTTTTCTACTGAGCATTCTCACCTTGGAGAAGATACCACCATGCACCTGGTCACCTAAGTCAGAAATAACAATGTCATCCTTTTCCCCACTCACTCCCTTGCCTCTCTCACCCAACAGTCAGCAAGTTAATCAATTCAACTTCCTCCTCTCCTCTCCTTAGGGTCTCTTCACAGAGCTGCCAGAATGATTTCTCTAAACTACCTCTATTCTCCTAATTCCACTTAATATATGTCCAAAGACTCTTCTTTTCTCCAGGATAAAATCCCAACTCCTCAGCATGACACACAAGGCCTCACTGACCATGGCAACTTCTCAAGCCTCATTTCTTCCCACTTCCCATCCTAATTCCCATGACCCCGAACACACTATGCTTGTTTTATAGCCCCCCTGCACAAGCAGCCCCTTCTAGCTGAAACATAGTTTATCAGCTTCCTTTCCCTCCCCTCACATTTATTTATTTTGGCTCACTCTCACTCTGCTTTCCACTCAGGTATCTCTATTCCCACATGCTCCTATAGCCCCTTAAGTTCACTGCTCTTCGTGCACTTACCATACCAGCACCAGTACCAGTCGCCATGGAGTCAACTCTAACTTATGACAACCCCACGCATGTCAGAGTAGAACTGTGCTCCATAGGGTTTTCGATGGCTGGTTTCATGGAAGTAGATTGCCACACCTTTCTTCAGAGGCATCTCTGGGTGGACTCAAACTACTAACTTTTCAGTTAGCAGCCAATCATGTTAACCATTTGCACCATCTAGGGACTCTATACTGAATTGTAATTAGCTGTTTGTTGGTTTATTTCCATCACTAGACAAGACTTCTCTGAGTACAGAGGACACATCTTATGCCTCTTTACATTAAATGAACACCTAACTCAGGACTCTGCATAAAGTAGCCATTCAATAAATATTTGCCAAACGAAATAGCAAAAGAAAACACAGCTTTTGGAAGCTGGTCCTGTTCCTCCCCCTGAATTAAGTAGGCTGATAGATACAAAGCTAACTGGATTTCAAGTGAAAGAAGCAGATGGCTTTAAACCACATTAGCTCCAGCCAGAGGATATACCTTATTTTCCTTTCAAAACATCTTTAAATCATCATTCTTATTCTTGATCCTTTCTTTAAAAAAAAATGCTTACTTTAGAATGTTTAATCTAAATAGAGGAGAATAATGAGAGCTCTATGACATGAAGATAACTAAAGTACAGTAGTGCCTCATTGATACAGTGTCATTAAGAAATGAACTGATGCACATAAAAGAATTTTCTGGATTACTATGTATTTTTTCCTTAAAGCATCAAAGAAGTGGTTTGTTTGTTTTTGTCCTTTCTAGAAGAAAATCATTCTCAAATGTATTATATTCTTCTCTACTTTTATAATGAAAGAATATTTAAAAATATGCTCACAGCATAGTAAGTAAAGATTTAAAAAAGTAAAGCATAGTCCCTTTTGATAAAACACAAACATATATATTTATATTTACATTTGCATTTATATTGTATAGCTCTTCCAAAACGGAAACAGTGGATATCTCTGGCTATGATATTTTAAGAAATTGTTATTTTATCTCATTTCATCTGTATTTTCTAATCCTTCTACAATAAAAATATATAAATTATATAATAAAAATGCAAATTTTAAAAAATGAGGACTATATTGAATTTAATATTTTATTGACAAGATGAATCTATTATGATCAAGTTACTATATTGGTACTCTTAATAAAGTGAACAAGATATCTTTACCTAAACAATTCTGAGTATTATGCTTTCAGAGTTCTTGGGGATATAGTCTAGTTTTTCAGCTTCTCTCACTATCAGTCTTCAGCTATATCTTCTTTCTTGCTATCAATGCCTATTTCTAGAAGCCCCCTTTCCTCTGTTCAAATATGTTCTTTACTTACTTATACATTTGCTAAACTTACTTATAAAATAAGAGTGATTCTTTCTTAGGAACATGAAGTATAAAGTCTAGCATTTTTAGAATACAGACTTTGTAATATCTATTTTCACTTTCTATTTACTCTAGCACTAAAGAGTAAGTATGGGCTTTGGAATGCGGTTGAGCTCTGAGCTCCACAGAAACCTAGCAATGTGACCTTGGACAAGCTACTCAACTTTTCTGAGCCTCAGTTTTCTCATCTATAGAGATAACAATAACAATCGTACAGGTTTGTAGTGATGATTAAATGAGGTGATGAGGCAAAATACTGAACAGAGGGTTTAAAACAATAGCAAGTACTCACTAAGGCTGTAGTTGTTGCTGTTAGTTGCTGTTTAGTCAATTCCGACTCATGGTGGCCCATGTGTGCAGAATAGAACTGCTCCATGGGATTTTCAAGGCTGTGACTTTCTGGAAGCAGATTGTCAGGCTTGTCTTCTGAGGTGCCTCTGAATGGGTTCTAACTGACAATCTTTCAGCTAGTAGTCAAGCGCTTAACCATTTGGGCCACCCAGGGACTCTCAGTAAGTGTTAGTGATTATTATTCATGGTGCTATTTACCTCCTGATTCTCAACTATTTTCCAGATAGATAATGTAGATTTCTATATGTAAGCATCTGGTCACAGATGTAAGAATCACCTAAAAGACAAGTCAGGTTCATCTCACGTATGACAGTGAAAAAAAAAAAAAGTGATAAACTTATTAAAGTATTTAGCTATTTACAGCACATCCAACATCCAGTAAATTACTTGAGAGAATAATTTTGAGTGGCTGATATATACCTGTTGCCATGGACTCAATTCTGACTCATAGCGACCCTACAGGACAGAGTAAAACTGCTCCATAGGGTTTCCAAGGGGTGGCTGATGGATTCCAACTGCCAACTTTTTGGTTAGCTGCCAAATGCTTAACCACTTTGCCACTAGGGCCCCGGGGTGATGTGTGTGTGTGAGTGTGTGTGTTTGTGCGTGTGTGTGTGTGTGTGTGTGTACACGTATATGAGGAGAAACACTACACAAGACTATAACTCTGAATCACTAACTGGTCTGAAGAAGGCAAGTTATGGCCCACTTGTTTCTGAACATGTTTACTTAATGCCCATTAATTTGAAGTAAGGTGACAAAACTGGAGCGTATTTGTTATGGTCATCTCTTCTCCTCTGATCTGGGATGCTTTGAGAAGCATTAAATGGAGGAATATAACCTCCATCTTTTGTCTTACCACCACTAGAATATTATGTAAAGTAACCCAGGGAAAGAGTACACAATGACACATTTTTAGTGAAATAAAGTGAACAGTAAAATTTCTTATCAGAAATGTAGCTTGGTGGTCTCACAAAGTTGTCTTCAGGTGGCTATGGGCAATAACATATCACAGGTCAGAAAACAATATCAGAAGCAATTATAATTTCTTTAAGTATTTTTCCTAAGAAAGTAATAGATGTTCATTATAGAAATGTGGGCAAAAGAACTGAGAACTGTAGATGAGAGAATAAAAATTATTATACATAATTCACCACCAAGAGATAAACACTGTTAAAACATTTTGATGCATTTCCCTCCTTTTGTGCTTATTGTCTTCATATTTATACATTTATATATAAAATCATGCTGCTACATGCATTTGTATTCTGCTTCTTTTTTAACTTATTATAATATAAGCATTTTATAGGGCATTAAAATTCTTTGTAAGCATCATTTTTAATAGCTGCACAAATGTACTATTGTAAAGCTATGCCATAATTTACCTGTTTCCTCATTGTTGGACATTCAAGCTGTTTCCAATTTTTTTGCTAACACACAAAATTTTAAAGATGGTTGTCAAGAGAAAACAATCATTTCTTAGGCAAATAAAGTACTCAATGAAACAGACAGTGATGATACGTTAGTGTAATAAATTCACTGCTAGCCTCCGGTTCAATCAGAATAGGCATTTATCTTTCCTTCAAGCAATAATTCATTTTAATTCAGACTTTCAATTCCTAGCCGCTTCCTCACAAATGTGTTTTCTGTCTCACACAATTGCAAAGACTAAGCCACAACGCTCACTTTTTTGATAGGTGGCATTGAATTTGTCCGTAGGTCAAAAGCCCTACTATCTCTTTGTGGCCATTCTGAACAGGGGTGGGAGCCTCACTTACAGTCCTCCCTACGTGTATCCCTCCCCCTTTTATGAGAATAGCTACCTCTTCAAGTTCAATTCTTGGACAGTCTGCCAGATGCATAAGTGCCTTCCTTATACTTCTGGGTCCTTTAGCATTAACTTTCCTTCCCAGGCCCTTAGGCTCTCTTGAAGTGTGTGTCTCTGTAGGGATCGGCATTCCCTATCAGGGGACTCCATTCCACCCTAAGTGGACCCCTATTTCCTTCAGAACAGGTTTCCTTCCTGCTACCCGACAAAGTTATGTCAGAAACATAAGCACCCTACCTATGCCACCAGATGAAGAGCTTAAACTTTGAGATAATTGAAGTAGTCATGGCAAGAAGCCAAGCCTTAGGGAGGCTATTAATAATGCAACATGTGGTCACACAGATTTTGCCCACAAAAGAGAACATCATAAGTTTGTTTAATATGAAATTCAATGGCTACAGCAAAGAAAGTTAGGCATTTCAGCTGACTCTCCTTGGAAACTAAAACCTTACCAGATTCCACACAGCTATAGATCTATTATAAATGCAGTCTAAATTAAAGGTATAACAGCTTGTTAGGGTCAAACTAGGACTTCACAAGACAAATAGAAGAAAGAAAATGTGAAACAATCAAGTAGGGAAGTTTGTGAAGCACAGGAGAGTGAGAGACTTCAAAGTCTACCTCTATTACTACTGAAACTGGTACTAGGGGCCCAGTGGAGTGATCCTAACCAGACTACCTAAGCCATCAAAAGGCCAGCACTCCCTCTGGGATTAGACATCACAAAAAGAATTCCGGCCTTCTTTAGGAAAATAATCAACTTCACTTTAGCTGGATGAAAGGCCGTTCAACCAAAGAAACCAGGAGTGGGGCCAATGAAAGTTTTTATCCTCCCTGCTCAAACAATGCAACTGGTTAGAATAAAATATCTGAATGGTATAAAATGTATGTCTGCCTTATCATAATCCCTAAATAATTATTTTCAACATTAAAATCATATTACAGTGTTCAGTGTTTGTTGTTTGGTTGGAAGAAAACAAAATAACATAGAAAGTCCTTGACATGTTGCCTGGCATGGAGATCCTGTTCAATAGATGTCAACTGATTCTGATTCTCCTATATAGAAGCAATTAACTTCATAGTATGACAACAGCACTTGTTTTGACACATTACCCTTGGACCATCTAATCTCTATTTTGCAATCATTTAAATGGAAACTTTTTCAAATGATAAAATTCAATTATTTTTTTTTCACTTTTGATGGTATATTATAAAATACTGGGATTTCAGATTTAAAAATCTACTAATATTATGATAAAGAAAATTTTTTGAGTACACATGAAGTTGAACCTAGCTTTATACAAACAACATCAAGAGTTTAAACAAAAACAAAAAAGTGGGTATTTATTTGCTTAAAAGCAATTCTTCAATTTATAAAAAGAATTCTATTCAAATAGGCAAACTTTTAAAATTACCCTTTGAAAAGCAGTATGTTCTTCAAAT